GGATCGGATCTTTGTGGTTTAATATCGGAGATTGGAATCGAGGAGAGAAGAGAAGAGCAAAGCTATGGAGCTTTATATAAAGAAGGAAGGGAGATTCATGAATCACACGTGGGCGGTTTTCTGACACGTGTGATATAAACCAAAACCGTTTCCTTTTCCAACGTTGACCGGGGTAGCCAACACGTGGCGAGGAATAGTTGGGTAATCGACATACACTGCATTGTGATGTCATTGCTTCCGTCATCCGCACGAACCTTTGTGAGTTACGATCTGGTGCTTCTCGGCGTACCGTTGTGTCCGTTTGCTTCTCTGGTCTATGATATAAATCGTGACTTGTGATTGGACAATGAAGAGTATTACTGTGGGCTTGTCCGCATCAGATTTTTTTTTTTTTGGGTTAATCATTGGAATGACGTCATCATAGTCGGACGCCGACTTGTATATATACGTAAATATCTGAAAGATGCGATAATTGACAGTTTCTTGGACTAAGTAAAACATTTCACAAAACGATTATTTTTTAAAAAATGTTTTTTTATAGTTTGCTTCTGTTTTTGTTTCCTAATATTTTACAGGTTATATATTAAAGAATAGTTGTTTGTTTGACTGACAAAAAAAAAATAGACTACTACTTGTTTAGTACTAGTTTGTAACTGATCTTGTGTTATATTTGGGGAATTGAGAGTAATGGAATATTTGAGAATAAACTCACTCGATGCAAGGAATAAAAATGTTGACCAAAATCATGTAAGAAGAAAATATTCAGCATATAATGCCAAAGAGAAAGATATTATTGAACGAGAAACAAGTCCAATAAAATGGGCCTAATGTATAACTTTCAAGCCATTTTTAAGGCCCAAATAATCTTTACGTGAAGGCTTGTGTTTGGGTCTAAAGTCCTGTCTTGCAAGTTCCAATTCCTTTGTCGTACACGCTAAACCTCAATCATGTGATATGGGGGAGTTTCAGCTTTTACACAAATTTGGCTTTTTGACGAAAGTACCCTTCCATTCCTTCACCACCTAATCAACATCAACTTTTATTGTTTGTTGCAAAATCAACATCACCTCAATTCTTCTTTTTGATCAGATTACATTCACAATCACAAATCTAAAGGGTCTATTTGCTCCAATATTATTTATTACTATTTTTAAAAATTCTTTTAAATAGTTGTACGCTTTATAATAAGGAAAAATCAAGAAAATCTATGTTACTGTCTTTTTTGAAAAATAATAAATCCATTTAAACATATAATAGCTAATTCATAGTCATCTAGTTTATCTTGTTGTTCTCTTTGTATATATTTTTTGTTAACGAGGAAGTTTCAGGATCGACTCTTAACTATAATGAATGAATTGTGTGGTGGTTTAATCTAATGTTCTTATTTTTTTGAATGTAGACGACCATGGCTAAGCCATTATATGTTTTCTATAACTAGTAGTATTATTATTTTCTTATTTCGAGGTATATATATATTCTCT